AAATGAGATATTCCATCTGAGCTTGCAATTCATATTTACTATCATGTTGTACCCTTGGACTACAAAATCTTGACATCGTTTGGACACATAAAACTAGAGAAAATAACCCTTATATGAGTCTAGCTTGCTTTAACCAAATGATGTAATCACAATGGACAATCTACTAAAAATAATAATGGAGTCCACATGCCAGAGAAACCATACTCGACATCACCTGGCTTCATAAAACAAAGAGTGATGATGTGTAACCTTGCTACGAATTCGAGGTATCGAGGATATAGGTGAGCCTGATTGAGTGAACAATGCACATGCTATGGGGGTGAGGAGGTAGGGGTGACAGGGGGATTCTAGGGAAAGTATGTGTTCATAAGGGGGGTATTAGTCGAACACCAGCGGGTTCCAAGAGTAAAAAAGAACATTTCATTTATTATTTCTATTTCCATGATATACTCATCAAAGAATAAATGATTATAATATTGTGGAAGCAGGTAAGAGTGAACAATGGAGAAAACGCAAAAAATTATCATTGGGTGAGCTTGATGTAGGAAACCCTCCCCATGATCATGATTTTCCATTTGTAAGATTTGAGGAAATTGCCATAGCAACTCACAACTTCAGTGAAACGTGTAAGATTGGACATGGAGGCTTTGGCAAAGTTTACAAGGTAACATATTCAAGAATTTTCTATATTATTCATTGTAATACCAACATAATTTAGTGGCTCATGTATCTAGGGTTTTACCTTCAAATTCTCTAGGGAATGTTAGGTGGTCAAGAAGTTGCTATCAAAAGGCTTAGTAAGGATTCTCAGCAAGGAACAAAGGAATTCACCAATGAAGTAATTCTAATTGCCAAATTGCAACATAGAAACTTGGTTCAACTCCTTGGGTGTTGCGCGGACAGGGATGAAAAGTTATTGATTTATGAATATATGCCTAACAAGAGTTTGGATGCTATCCTTTTTGGTACATATTCTAGGAACACACCATCATATCCTATAACATCTCAAAACATTCTTTTTCTTACATTCCTTCTATTTACAGATGACTCAAGAAAATTGCTACTGGATTGGTCGACACGGTTTAATATAATCAAAGGGGTCGCAAGGGGGCTTCTTTATCTCCACCAAGATTCAAGACTCACAATAATTCACAGAGACCTGAAAGCTGGAAATGTTTTGCTAGATGCAGAGATGAAACCCAAGATAGCAGATTTTGGTATGGCGAGGATATTTGGCGATAACCAACAAAATGCAAATACTCAACGCATTGTTGGGACCTAGTGAGTATCCATTGAAAGAAATATCATATTAACTTCTTTTTATAAAAAACTCTCAATTTAGTAACTCTTGCAACTAAAATGATCAAGCAGTGGCTACATGGCTCCTGAGTATGCAATGGAAGGCCTCTTCTCTACCAAGTCTGATGTATACAGCTTCGGTGTGTTACTATTAGAGGTTGTAACTGGTATTAGAAGAAACTCCAATAGTCAAACCATGGGTTTCCCTAGCCTCATAATCTATGTGAGTACACAGAAGACTTCTCGGAATTTTCATTTGAAAAGTGGATCCAGTTTTGAAAACATTTTTTTATTTTGACTAACAAAAAGAAAAATAATAATATAAGCTTCTTGGTTGTTTCAGTCATGGACTATGTGGAAAGAAGGGCGGGCAGAGGAGTTGCCGGACTCATCTATCATGGATGCTTGTTCACTAGATGAAGTTGTGCTTTGCATCCATCTAGCACTGTTGTGTGTCGAGGAGAACCCAGATGACAGGCCACTTATGTCATATGTTGTGTTCGTCCTGGAGAATGGAAGCACCACACTTCTGGACCCCAATCGTCCGGCCTACTTCGCGCGACGAAGAATTGAAATGGAGCAAATCAAGGAAGATATCCAGACTTCCGCAAATAGTTTTACTCTTACTGAAATAGAGGGGCGTTGAAATAACAATTCTTTTGTTTCTATAGATGTATCAAGCATTGCTGAAACACTGTATGTCCCTACAAACTGGGCATGCATTGTGTGTTGTTCATAAGCCATCATCTTTGGATGGGATTTTTATTCCGTTTTGGGCCTGATAGCAGTCTCAGTAAGAATAGCAATTAAGATACTTAAAACAACAAAATTCGGTACTTATTGGACACAAGTGATTCGGTGGCGTTGTTATTCTCTGCCACTCTTATCATGGGTTTTGTGCTTAGTTCCTAAAGAAATGACAGCACAGTCAGAGAAAATCACAGACAAAGCACGTTGACTGAGGTGAAGTGTGCAAGCGTTCATACGCAGCTTTGAAGTCTAAACTGCGGGTGATCAGAATGGCCATGTGGTGGATTTTCAGTCCAATCATCAGTAGCAGCTCTGCAAGGTGGTTTAGTACAGGTCCTGCGTACACTGTTTGTACCTGGCCTGTTTTGTGTCTTGTCCTGCACACATGGCGCAAAATGATTGGACACAAATTTGACTTATGATTAAATGAAAATCAGTCGATTGTTAGTTAGACACACCCTTAATCTATATGAAGAATGAAAGAGAAGTTCATTAGAAAGAGATGCCAAAAAAACCTCTTTTCTCTCTATATAATGAGTAGATATGTCACGAGCAATTGAAAAACATTGATGCACCCTATTCTAGACACGCATATAAGATGAATGCTTGGTGGTTGGCGTTGGCAATTTGTGTGAGGGAAAGTGGACACTATCAGATGGATATGCATATATATATGAGTGACATTTAAGACTTTAGATCATCATTAGACTTAGTTCATGTACATACACTATTTGTGCCTAGGAGATCTAATTATCTGAGACATTGGAGGAACCAAAAGTTTGGAAACAAAAGATGCACTTTGATTGCCATTGGGTCCATATTCGAGCCCGTCTTCCTTTTGCATGAATGTAGTAACTGAGAAGCCTGAAGGAATTTTGATGGAGTATGACTCCAAGGGTCTTTTGTCGACCAAGTCGGACATCTACAATTTCGGCGTCTTACTTCTCGAGGTTATAAGTGGGAAGAGGAATGCAAGCTTCTCACAGGACACGAAATACATATAATGAACTAGATACACAGGACCTGTATACGGGGGCCTCCTATTGCTTTCTATTCAAAACAGACTCTGAAACATTTCAGAAAGAAAACATAGCAAGCGATTTCCAATTTGCTCCTTTTATGGGAAGCTCGTTGAGCCAACTCTTGGTTTTCCCATAAATTTCTCTAGAAAGTCAAACTACCTCTTAGACTCACGGTGTTGATATGGTTGGTACCAAGATCCGAGAAATACTAGTATTCCAACCAAGGACAAGTTACGGAGTTTTCTTTGGAAAGGTGACAAGAGTTGCCAGTTTTGCGAATGCGAAGAGACAATTGATCATCTCTTCCTGAAATGTTTTATAGCTAGTACATAGTACTTCATCATTTTTCTTTCTTTTGAGAAATGGCCAAGATCATGCATGGTGTACCCTTGTGCACACTGATATCTCAACACATGAAACCAAAAATACAACCTGAGAGATCAGACTGTAGGCGTCAAGAAGATGCTGTGTCAAGATATGAAAACAGTCAAGGAGACGCAGGTGGAACACGCACCAATGAACAGCACAACATGAGCTACACAGGAGCCCACCGCGGCCGAAAGAAAGGCTGCAGCAGAATTTAAGATAATGGTTCATGATGATCATATCGACTAACACAGCTGAACCAATGATCGGTATGAAGTATTGACCTTTATTGATATGCTACCAGCAATCTAGGTTGCCAGTCAGGATATACATCCGATGCCGCTCCTCAATGGGGGAGAAGACCAGATAACAACACAACACGCACCGACCGGTGGATGTTGGCCTTCTTCTGGACTGTGTTGCCTTCCTATCTTGGTATACACACACACAGTCCCACTAAGGAAGGCCGGTATAATGGACGGCCCAGTTGCTGAGCCTATCCCATGTATAGATGCACAGGAGGAGGTACCAGCTACAACCATCCTGCCAATGTACAACATCTACTGCCTACAGTATACTCTCTCTGCT